CATATGAAAGGATAAAACAGTTCAGTACAATATAAACTAACTGAATGCAATCCATACCAGATTGGGTGTTTAGGTTCCTTAAAGCTTAATAAAGTTTCTTGTAATTCTTTTTTTGAAAAAATCTTACTTGCCGGACACTTTTTTTGAAGTAAGATAAAAGGGGTCTTTTCTTCTTTTCCCTACCCTCTGTACCTCTCTGTCACACGAATACACGCACCTGATTCTGGACATAAACCTGGTAATCTTTAGTAGTAAGGTCCCGATACATTCACTGCTGAGTTAATGCACTGGTATCGCAACACGCAATTTTTTTCTAGGTCAGGAGTGGTGTCCTTTAGCCTATGGTCTGCCTACAGCTCACAAAATCATTGCGGCCCTCCGCTACGTGATTTTTTGTTTTATTTTCTTTCTCATCTTCTAGCATGTTAAATTATGACCCTGGCTATTGGAAAGTTTTATTTATCATCATGTAGGATATGGTTTCTAATCCTTTATCTGTGTGGATATAGATTTCATAAATACTATAGCATAAGTAGAATTAAAAGTGTAGTGTGTTTTGGGGAATTAGCTTGTTACACTGGAAAGCAGTCTGGGCCAGAAAGTCTGGGCCCTTGATGAAAGTTGCTCTTGTGAACTGGTTGATGATAATGACATAATGTGCTACGGTTGTTTCACCATCTGCATGTATTCTTTTGGCACGTTGCTGTTAGATTTTGATCTGCTGGTTCAGGAAACAGAACTTTCCTTGAAGAGCTGCTATAAACATGGATGTCTTTCTCAGTATTGGAACTTAACTTTCATATTGAATGTTGACATGATCTGAAGTGAGCATCAGTGGGGACCAGAATTACATGTGCTGTTGACAGCTTTGAAACACAAATGAAAATCACATTATCAACTCTTTATATTCTTTAGATCTGTTTTCAGGGAATCTCTGCAATAGTTGAATGTAATTCAATAGCCAAACAGTTAGCAAGAACAAACCAGAGTAAATCAGTTTCAATTACTTGCTACTTGATCCTTGGAATAAAACCAGATGACAATAAAAGTTCTAAATAATTTAACAGATATGGTGCTGAAGTAGCAGCCTGTCTCCATCACCTGGAAGCTGATGAAGATGGATTCCAGTTTGGTTATGACAACACTGTGGATTTCTAAATCTGAGCAGGTGTCTACCTTCATCTATAAGCTCTGTAGTTAGTTTTTTAACAAGTTGGTTTCATTCATCTAGATGATATTTAGATAATCTTTACAGCATACAATGTAATGTAATTAACAATAAATACTATTAAACATTAATCTTCCAGTACAGCTGGGTGTGAAAGGTTTGCAGGTCCAAACTGCTTTCCAGTATACTGAATTAACTCCTCGTGCAAGACTGAAAACCCATTGAGTTCCAGGTTGATACAGGACATTTTTTGGTCAGAGCTGGAGAATGTTTCCAAGAAAACTAAACATGGCAGTTACAGAGCTGTATCATAGTTCAAATTCTGCCTTTGATTGATTTTCAGATTAAGGCTAACGTGTTCTTTGTTTCTCTTGTTCCAGTCCACACAATCTGAAAGTCTTATGGATAAAATCTTGAGTGTCTACCTCGCGAATTGAGAAGTTGCAGGTTTGTCACAGTCAGCCAGTTTGACCACTTTTTAACACCCTGGCAAGTGTGTATGACTAGAGCAGGCAAAAAAAAATCCAGAGGAGTCATTCCCATCTGACTAAACCCGTCTGAGATCTAGAATTTCCAAACTGCAGGAGACTGAGGTTATTTTTTCTTTTGTCTTGAAGATGAAATTTCAAAAGCTCTTGAAGGTAGCTTTCAAAAGTTTGGCAGATGTGGCAGTGTTTCAGTACAGTTGTTAGGAGTGTAGTATTTTTCCTGAGCCAGTTCTCCTCCCATCACTGGAAGTATTCAGACAGAGGCTGCAGCTTTATATTACAGCTGGACTGATTATCTGTGGGCAGTGACCAAAAAGGGAAGTCTTGTTTTCTTCTCCAAGACTTTTCCTTCCCCCTCCAGTACGTCAGCAGTATTGCTAGTCTGACCCCACAGTGAACCCATTCAGAGAACTGAGGCTATAGAAAACTAACACACACACACACACACACACATACGCACACACAAAAAGAGAAAATAATAGCTTTCTTACTGATGTAGTGTTCTGATCCAGCTGACCATGGGGTCAGGTGAGTGCCAATGCTGTTATAAATGCCAGAGGCAGGAGGAGTGGGAGGGCTTTTAGATTACTCTGTTGATCATATATGTTGTTATATACAGTAAGTATTCATTTATGTTCATATATTATATGAACATATATGAATATGTATTAATAGATGTACTGTAATCTAGACTTTGAGCATATAGTTCCTCCTACCAGGTTAAAGATTATTTATGGATTAACTGTACTGCTGCTGAAAAGAATGGTCTTGCTGTCCTCCCTGTGCTCGATGCCCTGTTTTCCTCCATCCCCTTTTGCGGTAACACTAGTGTTTTTGTGGTCAGTTGGATCAGGAAGCGGATCCAGCTGAAAACTAAGCTAATGAAAAAAAATTGCAGCTTCACGAATGTTATTGTCAGCATAGCAAGGGACAAGGTAGCACGGATTTGTCCACTGTGGCTGCAGCACAGATTTAAATTTTCTGAAGTTTATTTTGGAGTTGCATTATAAATATTCATATAGAAGAAGCTTTTTTACCAATTTATTGACTCTTAGCTGGTGTACTGTTCCAGTATCAGAGACTTTCTTGAAGAATAAGATCCTGAGATCCTATGTGGCAATCCAGCCACCGCGTCATCAGTCTCTGTTTTCTCTGTGGGATTCCCCTCTAGTGTCTTTTCCGAAATGGACAGTGAGCCATAGAGCACTGCCTGACTTAAGAAAGATGTCAGTGCGCGATGGTCTGCTATATAATCATCACCATATCATCATATGTGTTAATGTAGGTGACATTTTGATGTTTCCTCTTTTCTTAGTGTTTCAAATTTGTGCTATTTGGTTTCACTTAAGTATATATATACGTCAATGGAGCACGGATTATCTAAGGTATTTGGGATGTATACTTTTTGGACATGAGCTTGATTGATTACATTGAGCTACATCTTTAAGATCAAGTGCATTTGTGGTCTCTGACAAACCTGGCTGCACTGAGGAAATGGCATCCTAGCCTCTCCAAATTTCATGTATTCCAATAGGCTCAAGACTTTCTTTTGAAGATTTTCTTTCATTCAGAAATGAGATTCAGTGCAATGCATTCTAGCCCAGCTTTTCTCCCTGCTGTTGTTTTCTTTTGGGATTACTGTTTGGTCATTGTTCGGTTCAGGCCATACTCAATTGCCCTTGTAATTAGTGTGGAGCTTATAACCATGTACTGACTAATCATGTCTGCTCTGGTTTTCTGGGATTGTTTTGACTCTTTCAGCTCCCATTGACTTTTTGGGGGAATTTTTGACATTTAGCACCACTGAAGCTAGTGATTTCAGTTATGAGCAAGCTGCTGGTGTGTTAAGTCATAGCCATTAAGTGACAGGATTATTCTGACTAAATATGACCTAATATTCAAGTGTATGTATCAAGATGTGCCACCCTAGGACCTCTTCATGGAGAGTGGAGTTCTTTCACTGTGTTCCTGGCGTTAGTACACAGTGTGTTTCACCCTAAAGGGGATGCCAGTTTGGTCCAATGATTTGTGCTGTAAGAAAAGTGCAGGTAGATCACTTGTTGAATTTTGCTTAGATGTCCAATCTAACTTGCTTGGAGAGTTGGTCTAAGTGTCTGTATAGAAATGAGTTTGTAACAGCTGGTCTTTAAGTCGGTGTTTGTCAAAATTGAAGTTGCCAGACATAAGAAGGGTTTAAGGAGTTCCATCCCAGATTGAAACCAAGAGGAGCACCTTTAAAATATAAATGCTAGATGCACCTGCCAGAATTTACATTCATGCACTGACATTTGAAAACTTCAACTATACAGGAATGTTAACATTATCACTACAGCATGCTGTGAAATTATCTGCTCATAAGATCAGCATTTTCATTCGTGTTTGAAGACTGGCGGCAATTGTGAGGTTTCTTTCTTCTGCCTCTGTAAGCCAGGCTGTGCCTTTTATTTCCTGTGTAGCTCTTGGAAGCAGGCAGAGTCTCCTGCCTTAGCTTTGTGCATTCTGTTTGACAAGTTCAGTCTCTGGTTTGGCTGGATACTTCATCTTGTAGTAAAGGAAGGAACCAGTTTACCTTCTGTAATCCAGATTCTGGTTTATTTCATAGTTATGTTTACAACATCTTTGTTTAAAGCTGAAAAGACCGATTTGTGTAGTTCCCGGCTGTCACTAGTCAAGAGGGTGAAATTAATAGCCACTCCCTTTTCAGTCCCTATAGCATTTTCTTTCCAACAACCTTTTAAGGTAGGTACCACTGAGTAGCAAAACCATAGTGCTCTGGTAACATTTAAAGTAAGTTGCATCTTGTCCAGGCTTGATTAAGGTGTAAGTGCCTTTGGCAGAAATAAAAAAATCAATGTAAGTTCCTACTTAGTAGAGGTACAAGGAACATAAAATGGAAAATCAGTGCACAACAATTGTAGGGTTAATTTTAAGAACTTTAACTTTTTAAGATTCTTCTCAATTCATTCCCTTCAATATCATCATTGCCGTTATTCACAGAAGTGTCATTTCCAGTATACATCTCTAAATCTGAAATAAAGTTTGAAGTACACTGCATATGTTGCAACATAAGATAGAAGAGAATGTTATGGAATGTGAAGCAGGAAGTGGATTCATCTGTTGGGCTGTGACACCTCAAGGTGCTGGTATACCCTGCAGTTTAAACACTAAGTACATGCTAAATTTTAAGCATGTGCCTTTCTCAGTGCTTAAAATTGCTGAAGGTGAAGTACAGGCGTATTTGCAGGATTTCAGGTGAATTCGTAAGGTCTACTTTCTTCCCCATCAGATGCTGGTTTTGACATCCTATTAAGTAAATCTGGCTTTTTTTTTAACCTTTTTCCTAGGTGTTTACCTCCCATGGACCTACTGTGATCATGCCAACCTGGTTCTGTTCTCGAGAATGGTTTTTTCATGTGGGCAAATTTGATGAGGGTGGAAAGGTGAGTGCTACAGATGATATGTTGTCCAGGAATCATCTCTTTGTCTAACAGCCTATGAGAGGCCTATACTTCCTATTAAAAAACACTAAGCAAGGTGGTATAGATAAAAACTGAGGTGTAAAAAAATTTGGGTGGTACTGTATGCCTGGTTTTGGTTTTGTTTTGTTTTTAAAAACAGTTGTTAACCAAGTACAGTTGTTTTGAAGTAAGTGTGATGGTTGAAGGACATGACTGAGATGGGGTTTGTGGATAAATCTAACACATTTGTTAGATATGTCAGCATATCTGGAAAAAATTAAAGAAGGGTTCAGACATTCCAGCTCCTCTTCAGTTGCTGAAATAGATACAGCAGATCTGAAAGCTAAACAAAAGTCAGCTCATAGTTTTATTCTGAACCTTCTCTGAAAGGTAAGGTAGATTTGGTGAAAGACATCGGAAGAAAGAAAGATGCAGGATGTCAAAGAGAGAGTAATAGATTCTCCTAAGGAGAAAGATTTATATCCCTGAGATGCAGAAAGAAGGGAGGAGGGGAGATCACAATGTGCTATAAAATTGCTATAATTAAATCTCATTTATCCACTTGTCTCATATCCACTTGTCAATCTTAGTTCTCAGGCTTGTCCTTGGAAGGTGTTAAGCAGCTTTGCCTCAAGGACTGGGGCTGAGAGGTTACAAGTTAAGCAACTGTTGTCTGAGAAGTGTTCCTCCACTGACAGTTAGGTGTTCTTTTTCTTTATAGATTTCATGTATGAGTTCAATTTAGTTGTTTTAGGCTCTTCAGCATGTTTACGGAATAAAATCCAGGGATATCTATTGGCGGTGTTTGTTGTGGTAGTAGAAATATGTTGGCAAATAGATTTAATTCAGATGCATTTGGATGCATTCTGGGTGTTTTGGACCTGAGGGGTTTTGCTTCCAGTGCTTTTGGTGAAATTTTAGGGCTAGAATGGGTGGTTCTGATTTTTTTTTTTGGCAAGCCTTCATTTAATAGCAGATTTCTTTTTAGAATACTAAGGTTATTTCCTATTTTATTATTGAAACTACAGCATATTATGATTTTTTTTTATAGCCTCTAAATGAAGCCTTCCTGTGCCATGCAATTGAGTATATGTACGTACTCACACATGCATATGTATGTATGAGGATATACAAATACTATTATTTGGGCTGCCAACAAAATTATAATTTAAAGAGGTGGCAGACAGCGAACAGAATTGTTTAGAGTGATGAAAAGATTTGCCCTTAATTACATGGCGGGTGAATGGAAGAGCTGGGAATGGTGCCTGGCTCCCAGTGCAATCTACATTTGCTGACCCGTGCTCTTTATTATTTTTTTATTATTCCTCATCATTGTGTTTTCATTCTCTGAAGAATGTTTGACTTAACTTCTAGAGCATTGTTAGTAAGCTCAAAAAAGAAAGTAGGCTAAAACTTAGTAACAACAATAGAACAGCAAGCGTAATGATAAAGTTCAAGAGGTTAAGTTAAACAGGCTATTGTTCTGTGGTTTTTGCTTTTAGTTTTGTTTGGGTTTTTTTCTCTCTTTGTTCTGTTATTTGAGGTTTTTTTGGTATGGCTTTAAAATTATCAGTGAGATGTTAAGCTTTTTGTTTGTCCCTACTGTGAAGTGTCCAACATGTCAAAACTCAAGCTTCAGCTGATACAGAGGACCTTCAAACCCCAACCCTGTGAACAAGGATGCTGACAGATCTAAACAAGGCAATGGACATAGGACGGAGGTCCTGTGCTGACTAGTAGTAGTAGTAGCAGTAGTAGTAGTAGTATTTTATATTATTATAATTATGCCTTCATTGTTTATGTGGGTTTAAAGGACACAAAATCAGGTCCTAAATCTCTTAAGATTTAGCGTTGATCTAACTCACTCATTTTCATTTGAAAATAATTCCTTTGAGGGAAAGAAATATTTTCTCTGTGTATCAATAGAGCTGTTACAAACTGGTACTGAGTACTCTTAAGGATCTTATCCGTGTGTATGTGTATTTTCTGACCTGACCCATGATCTGACTATGTTAATTTGATCACCTCCATCTCCATTCTTGGGTTGGTGTTTAACAATGCGACCTGTAAGTGTCATGTTGCTGCAAGTAAACACTGAAACAGGCCAACAAATCTCCACGTTTCAGCTTGTCCATTTGCTAATCTGTTTCCATGCCAAAAAGCTGCATTTCTCATTTGGAATTAAATCCAAACACCTGTTCTTCATATTTCAGTGCTTAGAACAAGTGGGAGATAATTCTTCCATGGAAGAAGTTGTGATTTGATGTTTATGTTAATAGTATGAGTGGACTGATAGAATATAAATATGTAAGTTATGATGTAATATTTTTTTTATTCCAGGTAGGTACACATGCATGCATGTATCTTTGCCTCCATCCAGGCTTTATTTGAAACAGATTTTAAAAAATATTTACAGAGTGTTTTTAGAAAAAAAATAAAAATTCTTTCTGGTCAAGATCTGCCATTTTCTGAAATGTATTCCTTTTATGTAATCACTGTGGCAGTGTCTAAGCAAAATCCTAAATAAATGGTGTCTTAAGAACGTGACGAGTTCGCTTTATGCGCTGATTAACTAAAATGGTAGAGGTGTTATTTATGTAACCTCTGGTAGATGATAATTAAAGCAGAAGTACTTAAAAGTAGTTGATTGTAGCAAGCTCTAATGATGTGCTAAGACTAAGTTAATACAATAGAAATGGTTACAAGCTTATAAAGTAACACTTTAAGTAGTATCCACTGCTAGAAGGAGAGTCATCTGAAAAGTATTTCTGACTTAGTTTTTTAGGAAGCTAAAGGGAAGTCATCCTCCTGTTATCCAACTGGTTGGGATACAGAATGCAGTACTTCCCTAATGAA